GGAGGCCCCCAAAACGAAAAAAAAAAAAAAAAAAAAAAAAAAGAAATGTGTTAACTCTGGGAGCCATTACTTATAAATTATTACTGAACATACTTCTGGAACATTGTAATATCTGTGGGACATCTTAGGAAAATTGTCTCCAAATGAATTGCTTTGTATCTAAGCAACCAAACCTGGGTGAACTAATAATAATTATGAAATCAAGTTCAATTAATGCTGCTGTCGAGCTGTTAGCTAGAGAGACAGGGCATTTGGGGAAATGGGCAGTAGCATCGTTTCTATCATTTCCTGAAGCTATTCAGAATGTGCCTCCCACAGAAATCAGGAACCTCCCTTTCAGTGATGGTCACTGTTAGGTGTCAGCCTGGCGAGGATGTTTTCCCCATTTATTCACAAATGCTAACCTAGGTGCTGCTGGGCAGGTATTTTAGTGATGTTATCAAGTTGACTTACTGAAAGGATCACACAGAACAAACCAAGGGTTTAGGTGGGATTCAAAGAAGGAAGACATTTATTTTCGTTCTGGTCCCAACCATTTCAAACAAGGCTGTGGACAGATGGTCTCATGTGGAATTATGTCAGTACATCCTGTTAACTCTGCCTTCAACATGAATCCACGGTCCAGCCACTTCTTAACTTCCCCGCTCCTGAGACCACGTGCACGCTGGCTTTTAGTAAAAGGGATGATCCTTGGTAATCAGGGAGGGCCTGGTTCAGTCAAAAGAAAGGCCTAAAGAGCAGAACTGAGGTTTCCTTGAGGAAGAAGAAATTTCGCCTGTGGCCACAGCTGCAGCTCGTGCCCTAGCCTGGCTTGCCCTTCCCATCAGCTTGCACGGTGGATTTCAGCCCTGCCTCGCCAGCCCTCATGGCTGCACAAGGTGATTCCTTGCACTAAGTCTCCTGACATATATCCCCTACTGTTCTGTTTCTCTGTGGAACCCTGACTGATACACCTTCCAATCTGGGGGCTCCAGGAGTCTGGCATGTCACTAAGTGGCAGGTAGAACTTGGCATTTTCTGCATAAATCTTTCTGTGGCGTGCAAAGCAAGCAACTATTGTGGGGATTAAAAAGTGGGAGCGTAATGCTGTGAAGCAGGCATCCTGCGGCCACAGACCCCTACTCAGCCCTATCCTATTCCCCCTACCTTGGTTCTAGGCTCCAGGATACACATCCCCAAGTTTCCAAAGCATCTCTTAGTACTACTTTCAGATACCAGGAACCAATCTCTCACACAAGTGTTTCTATAGTGGTCTCAGGCAGTGACGCCTGGGACCTCCCTCAGGGGGGTGCAGTCTGCATTATTTGCTGGAAGCGTGGACAAGTTCAAGCACTCCAGGCTGTGAGGTGACGTGGCAGAGGTGACTGGGGTGTGGGTTTACCTCTCCAGGGCGACCTCTCTGAGCAGGAGAATCTGAGTTGAGATCTGAATAGTAACAGCAGGGGCAGAAATGTTCAAGTGTCAGAAAGGGGCTCGGGGTGTCCCCAGGGGAGAAGGGTAGGCATGGCTCAAGAGCAAAGGATAAGGGAGGCTCTGGTTCCATGAGAAATGGAAATCCACTGGAAGGTTGAAGCAGGAGTGACAGTGATGGGATTAACACTTCAGAGAGACCTCAGGCTTTGGGGCAAGGCTGGCCACCACAGACTAGGCGTGCAGGTGGTCTCAGGAGCAGGGAAGTTAAGCGGCTGGACCGTGGATTCATATTGAAGGCAGAGCTAACAGGATGTACCAACGTAATTCGAGACCGTCTGTCCACAGCCTGGTTTGAAATGGTTGGGACCAGGATGAAAATAAATGTCTTCCTTCTTTGAATCCCACCTAAATGCTTTGTTTGTGCTGTGTAATCCTATAAGGAAGTCAACTAATATGCGTAGACAGTTACCGTGAACCAGGCACTGGGTATATAATATGATTCCTGCCCTCGTATTAATGGGAGGGTAAAACAGATACATTACAAATAAATAAAAATAGTGACAGAGTCATAGTGCAATGAGCATTATGAAAGAAAAGTCAGGATGCTGTAGAAACATAACTGGCAAGTCTTATTTGGACTAGGAGGGGTGGCAAGGATTGCCATTTGCCCCTGAACATCCACTCTTCCCTTCTCCCTCATATGAATGGAACCCCTCATAATAACAGGGCACGTGGTTGCCCAAGATAAAAACGTGTAGGGGGATGTGGCCAGGTGACTAGGTTCTGGCCGACAGGATGGACGTCGAAGGGACGTGCAGACTTCCAGGTCCTGCCTTAGCAGGAAGTGCTGCGCCCCTGCCCTCCCCTTCCTGCCTCCCGGCTGGCGGCTGGCAAGTGCAGCCAAGGTGGCCAGCCCCTTCTACTGCAGGGGAGGGTAACGCCCTGGGGGTGATGGAAGGAGCAGGACTCCTTTGTATGGCAGAGGCACCAGTCAGCCAGGGCTTTTACATCAGAGAAAAGGAAAGTTCTATCCTGTTTCAGCCATTGCTATTTGAATTTCTGTTACAGCAGTGGAACCCATATCCTAAGTAATACAGAGGCCAGAATAGCTTTCTTGAGGACCTAATGCTTAGACTTCCACGTGGTGCTGAGTAGGATTAAGCTCCAAGGTCGGCATGCCTGAGGCGTGGGAGAGGTCTGTGGCAGCTGGAATGTACAGGGGAGAGTGGGGAGACAGGCCTCATCTGGTCCTGTTAGGGAGTTTGGGTTTATCTTAGTACCAGTGGGAGGCGTCTTGCTGATGGATTTACTTCTGCTCTCTGTCCCTCGTTTCTGCTTGCCCTGTTCTCTTCCCCTTTCTCTCTGGGGCAACACAGGAGGGAAGTATGGGGTCACAGAACAAGCACAGGATGAAGGGCCAAGAGACCAGCTCTACTGTCCATTATGTGATCTTCTCTCCCCTGTCAAACGGGAATAACCTCTGCCCTACCAAGGCCGCTGAGTGACTCAAAGGAGATAACAACAGCAGCTACCCAGTTATTGAGCGCTTACTACATGCCAGAGACTGTTCTAGATGCTTTACATGCAGTAAAGCTATGAGGTTTATCCCACTTTATAGATGAGGAGACTGTGGCATATGGGGGACAAAACTCACCCAAAGTCCCCGGACCAATGAGTGGCAGAGCTGCCACACTCAGGCAGCCCAGCCCTAAAGTCTACGCTCTCACCCCTGCCCTGTGCTGCACACCCAAGTGCTTGGGAAGACAGACAGGTAAAAAGACATAAAGGACTTCCCTGGTGGCACAGTGGTTAAGGATCCGCCTGCTGATGCAGGGGACACGGGTTCGAGCCCTGGTCCAGGAAGATCCCACATGCCGCGGAGCAACTAAGCCCGTGCGCCACAACTACTGAGCCTGCGAGCCACAACTACTGCAGCCCACGTGCCTAGAGCCCAAGCTCCGCAACAAGAGAAGCCACCGCGATGAGAAGCCTGCACACTGCAATGACCTGGTCACTGCAACTAGAGAAAGCCTGCACAGCAATGAAGACCCAACGCGGCCAAAAATAAATAAATTAATTAATGATAATTTAAAAAAAAGACATGCAGTATCACTCTAGTGCCAAGTGCTTAGTTTGGTAACGAAAACATGTGAGAGCAAAACCAAGCTACCCACTGCAAACAAAATATTTCTTCTGGGTTCTACTCTGCGGTTCTCTCAAGTAATAAAACTGATGCCTTAGGGATAACTGTTAAGAAATTCCATGAGATGGGCTTCAGGACTTGACAAATAAAAATCAAATACTACCCTTGTCCCTTTTCTGCCGTTGCTCAAAGCCATCTCTAACGTAAAATTAAGAGGAACTGTTGCTGATGCTTCTTGGCCACACCAAAGGCCATGTCATCAGGTTCACTGAGAAAGGGATCAACTGATACGTGCACACAGATAGCCGTGCTAACACCCTGGTACTTTTCTCAGTAACTGAGAGTTTAAAGCTGAGAGTGTTCCCTCACCCTCACACCCCATAATGGACAGGTACCAGTCCCTGAACTACTGGGCACATCCAGCCCAGGGCAGAATCCAAAGGCTCAGAGAAAGGTCTACAGATACTTTCTCAAAAAGGGAAGGGCATTCCCAAAACGTCCTGCAGTGCCCAAGGGTCTGCAGCAAAGGCCCAGGGACCAGGTGACAGAAACAGCTCGTAGCAAAGGAAACACTCGCCAGGGGAGGCCTGGCTCACGGGGCAGCTGGGCCCCTGTGAAGGCACACGTGATCACCAGCTGCTCTGTGAACCAGGAACGACCTCCCTGCCTGGAATCCCCAGGTTCTGTCCAATGGCTTGCTTTCTACAATCATGGGGGCTTAGATGGTGGCATTACTGCAATTTCTCACAGGCCAAGGGAAGGACCGGGATATCTCTAGAGCTCAGCGCAGACTGTCATTCCTATAGCTCAAGAAACCCACACTCCTGTCATCTCCAAAACGTAGCCCAAGAAGAGAGAGAAAGACAAACATTGCTACTTCTCACCCACACGGTTTCCCATCCTCAGGACCAGAGGAAATACAGCCACAGCCCAGAAGGTGTAGGTGCCCTATAGCTCTCATGGAGACACAACTGATTGAACTGTGCTCCCTCCAAAGAAGTCCTAACCCTTGGTACCTACAAATGTGAATTTACTTGGAAATAGGGTCTTTGCTGAGGTAACTAGGTTAAGCTGAGGTCATGGTGGATTAGAGTGTCCCATATAACTCTGACTAATCCAACACGACTGGCATCCTTAGAGAAGAAAATCTAGACACAGTTAGAGGCAGACAGAAGGCCATGTGAGGGAGGCAGAGACTGCAGAGACGTTGCCAAAGGCAAGAAACACCTGGGCCCCCCAGCAGCTGGAAGAGGAAGGAAGGATCCTCCCCTAGAAGCTTCAGAGGAGGCAGGCATGCCCCACGGACACCTGGCCTCCGGAAATGGGAGACAATAAATTTCTTTTGCTTAAGCCATGTGCTCTGTGGTATATGTTACAGAAGCCCTAGGCAACTAGACAGAGGGGAACTCATTTTTGGTGCTGTCTACAGGACTATGTCTCCTAAGAAAAAGCACCTGTGTGTGTGCTCCCAGCATGGCCAATCCTTCCTTTTCAGCTGAGGAATTTGAGGTTGGGGTGTGGCAGGGGGACCTGCCCGAGCTCACACGGGAAGTCCGAGGCAGAGCCAGTACTGAGCCCAGGCCTTGGGGTCTGAGTTCAGTTCCCCCCACCAGCTCATGACCATCACACCATCTAAAGACTGGAAGAAGCAACACCACCTTTCCTGGTGGATGATAAAGCTCCAAGTGAACTAGTATTTAGCATGACATTTTCACTCAACTATGAAGCTTTTCATTTGGGGTTTAACCTTAATTATGTTTTATTTATTTCCCTCTACCCCGAGTCCCTGAGACTTAACACAGGAAGGGATTTCACCACAGCCCTCTTCTATTCTGGGCAGGAAGAGTGGGGGAGACGTCAGAATTTTTATCCTGGTAGTTGGGGCGAAGTTCAGGTGCACCTGAAGGCTTGCAAGCCCTGTACCTGCCCAGCCTCAAGACCAAAGAGAGAGCCCAGAGTCAGCGACAGAGACATCAGGAGTTGAATGGATGGGGGATCTTACATGTCTGAAGCGGGGTCCTGGAGTGACACCCCACCGTGTGTGGCAGACAGCAGGAAGGACATGGCAGCAGTCCTTGCTACCTGGGGAAGAGGGCGGTTACCAGTTACGGGGAGAACTGACATCAGGTTGGCTCATCAGTTGCCAGGGAAACAAGCAGAGGGGCCGCCCCTCGCCGCCCCTTTGATAAATTATCATAGTGGAGATAGTTCGGATTCAAAGATTTCAAAAATCACTAGCTGGCGCCAGGAGCAGGTATATACGCATTTACTGATTATATCATAGGCTCTACAACTGAGAGGAAAGGTCAGTCAGGTGAGTAGGGTGTAGGTGAGGCAAGGACTGGTCGAGCAGGGGATGTGCAGAGAGCAAGAGAACAGTCATCTTGGGTGGCCTGATCATACAGGTGACCATGTATACCAGTCTGTCCAAGACAGTCCCAGTTTACAGCTGTTGTTCTGGTGTAATTACTGACAGCACCCAACTGCACTCTCAAAAGTCTCCCATTTTGGACAGTAAATTATGGAGTCACTTTCCTTATAATGGCTATGGATGTTCACAAATGTTTTACACAGCTTGATGGAATGGAAAAAATGCAGGACTAGAAATGAGGAGACTCTTATTCCTGTCCAAGAAATATGAGAGGTTTCATTAACACAGTGTCTGGCAAGTATGAGAATGGTGGCCAGGCAGTAGCGCCAGAGCGCAGGGAGCTCCAAGCGGGGGCAGACGGGCCCCAGGCTCAGAGCCACTGTGCAGGGCCATTCAGGCTGTGGTGAGGACTTTGCGTATTATCTGAATGAGATGTGATACCACTGGAGGATTCTGAGAACCGGACTGACCTGCTCTGACTTAGAGTTTCACAGGACCACTTGCAGGTGTGTGGAGAAAAGCCTGAAGGTAGAAAGGAGTAAGATAGGGAGGATACTGGAACAGTTTCGGTGAGAGATGTTATGGGCTTGGACCAGATTGGCATTTGAAGTGGGGAAAAGTGACTGCACTTGGCTATATTATGAAGGTGTAGCCAACAGCATTGACTTGGACTGGACGCAGGGTAGACAGAAAAAGGAATCAAGGTGACTCCAACTGGACAACTGCAAGAACAACAGCACCATGTCAGGACGTGAAGAATGACACAGACGATACCTGAGAATGCCTCTTCTCCGCCAGTGTGCCCCAGCCCGTCAGAGTCCTGGGAATAGGTTCGCAGGTGTGCCTGGGGTCTGGGTCCTCTCAGCCCTTGGGGCAGCTGGGTAGAGCCCAGGGCAGCCAGAACTCACTCCCATCGCCTCCACGCCCACCCCAGCCAGGGCTGACTGCCTTTGGCTGTAAACTGTAAATCCTCGTCTATTTATGAAAATGTGCTGAATGAATATTACCATTTACTAGCTGTGCCACAGTGCTAAAAGTTGAAGAGTACTGGTGTTAGACGTCCAAATGGAGAGATCAGGCGGGCGCCTTGGGCTTGGGGAAGGAGTCAGGTCAAAGGACAAAGATTTGGGAGTCATCAGTATACAGATGGTATTTAAAGTCCTGGGACTGTGTGAGATTATGGATAGGAAAGAAGGGGGCCCAGGACAGAGCCCTAAAGCACTCGAACAATGTCAGTCAGGGATGCAGGGTAGAAGGGATCCTGGCAAAGGAGGAGGAAAACAGACTGGAGTGTGTCTTAGCTTGGGCTGCCATTAACAGACCACCACTGACTAGTGGGCTTAAACAACAGTTATTTTCTCACAGTTCTGGAGGCTAGAAGTCCAAGATCAAGGTGCCATGAGGGTTTGTTCCTGGTGAGGCCTCTCTTCCTGGCCTGTAGACTGCTGCCTTCTTGCTGTGTGCTCACATGGCCTTTCCTGTGTGCTTGTGCAGAGAGAGACCCCTGGTGTCTCCTCCTAAGGACACCACCGGTCCTGTAGGACTTAGGCTCTACCCTTAGGACCTCATTTAATCTTAACTACGACTTTAAAGGCCCTATATCCAAATACAGTCACACTGGGGGTTAGGGCTTCAACATAGGAGTCTGAGGGGCAAAATTCAGTTCATAACAGAATAAGTTACAGAATGAAGTGGACATAGAGATGTAATTGTAGATAAGAAGAGTACTGCTATTAAGAAGAGTAGGAGAGGGGCTTCCCTGGTGGCGCAGTCGTTGAGAGTCCGCCTGCCGATGCAGGGGATACGGGTTCGTGCCCCGGTCTGGGAAGATCCCACATGCCGTGGAGCGGCTGGGCCCGTGAGCCATGGCCGTTGAGCCTGCTGGTCCGGAGCCTGTGCTCCACAAATGGGAGAGGCCACAACAGTGAGAGGCCCACATACCGCAAAAAAAAAAAAAAAAAAAAAAAAGAAGAGTAGGAGAAATAAGGCCATAACTGGCAAGGGAGGCAGTGAGGTCAAGAGAGGTTCCAGACGCATTCCCCCTGCCCCACATACAAACGTGAGAGACACCAGCGCGAGGGTAGGCGTGGAGAAGGGCATTCCGGATTATAGGTAAGTCAGGGAAGAATGCCATGCAATGCACTTGGGGAGCAAATGAGTAAGGCCCTTTGGTATGACTTTCTCCTTGAGGTTCCAGGTGTACCTTTTTCTGCCTTGTCCACCTTGTAGAGGCTCCTGAATTTTAGCCACAAGGAGAACTAAGAAAGGACAAGCTGGCCTTCCAGGCCAGAAAGTTGGCTCTCAATTAGGCAGGACAGGGGCTCTGCCATACTGCTTTCATTTACCCAAGAAACACTGAGTCTCTTCTTTGTGATGCTGGGTACTGGATGCTGGGCAAGGGACAAGTCAGACTTAGTGCCCACCCTCAAGGAACTCCAAGGCTGGTGGGGGAGGATGGACAACCACAGAACTGTGAGTGAAGTATTGAGAAAGAGACAGTCAAGGTACTTTCTACTGCGAACTGTCAGGATTTGGAAGAAAGGCTTCAAAAGTGCACCTCTGGGTCTGGGGCTCCTCTGATTCCGATTTGGTATTCTGCTGGGGTAGATGATTTAGGGTGAAGTGTCCTTATTCTAACCACTTTGTAGAGAAGGTCTGATGGGATTAACAAATAAAGGAGTTCAGCATCAAACTCATGCGGAATACGTTTAAGATGGGTAAAGCCAGCTAAGATGCTTTTCATTTACTAGAGCCTGGAGTATTCTAGGGATTGAGGCAGGCAAGGGGGTTCACAAAAAGTGAACAAACCAACCCCTTCTCAGCAATATGTCACTGTGGCCAATGTACACCTTCACACAGAACTCCTTTAGCTGTTCCCATCAAGGAGTTCAAACACCAGTCATCCAGTCATTTGCTAGGAAGAGCAAGCAGTGAAATGGCAAGCCCCTGTACTTGGCCTCTGTGGTGGGGACTGAATCCAAAACTTGTATTTTGAATTCTTTTAACCCCCAGGACCTCAGAATGTGACCTTATTTGGAAACAGGCTATTTGCAGATGCAGTCAAGTTAAAACGAGGTCATTAGGGTGAGCCCTAATCATTTATGACTAGCATCCTTATAAAAAAGGGAAATTTGCACACACAGGTACATACAGGGAAAACGTTAAGTGAAGGTGAAGGCAGAGATCGGGGTGATGCATCTACAAGCTGAGGAATGTCAAAGATGTGCCAGCAAACCACCAGCAGCAGGGAGAGGGGCCTGGAACAGATTCCCCCTCACGGCCTCAGAAGGAACCCACCCTTCTGACATCTTGATCTTAGAATTTTAGCCCCTGGAACTGTGAGACAGTACATTTCCTTTTTAAAAAAATATTTAATGCTTCCCTGGTGGCACAGTGGTTGAGAGTCTGCCTGCTGATGCAGGGGACACGGGTTCGTGCCCCGGTCCGGGAAGATCCCACATGCTGTGGAGCGGCTGGGCCCGTGAGCCATGGCCACTGAGCCTGCGCGTCGGAGCCTGTGCTCCGCAACAGGAGAGGCCACAACAGTGAGAGGCCTG